GAAGCCTCAAATATTTCTACGAAGGAAATTTTCAGATAGACTACTTAACGCATATAACAGCGACATTTTGCGTTTGCATAGAGCAAATATGGACATTCAGTTCATACTTGACGCCCATGCATGCTGCAGCTACATAATAAATTATATCAACAAATCTAATAGAGGGGTATCTCAGCTGTTAAGACAAGCCATGGATGAAATAAATGACGGAAATTTCACAATTAAGCAAAAATTACAACACATAGGCAATAAATTTGTTAACGGATCGGAGGTGTCCGCCGAAGAAGCATCCTATAATATTTTGGGTCTCCATCTTTCAGAAGCCAGCGAAGGAGAAATTTTTATTAATACGTCACACCCAGACAAAAGAGTGAGAATGGTGAAGCGGAAAAGTGATCTAGAAAGGCTTCCTGCTGATTCAACTGATATTTATGTACCGAACTTGCTGGATCATTATATTCAAAGGCCAAGTCGGCTAGGCCAACTCTGTCTTGCTGATTTTGCTGCATTGTACCGATTTTCAAAAACAAGAACAGTGTCTACACTTGAAAACGAGGACAATGAATAAGTCGAACCAGTTGATGAAAATTCTGAAGCAAACGAGCTCCGCCTTCAATTAAATGATAGGAGCGGTTTCATCTGGAAGAGAAAGCGCCCTCTTATATTAAGGTGGAGACGTTTTAGTGTTGAATTTTCTCGATCAGACTACTTTCGGGAAATGGCTATGCTATTTTATCCCTGGCGTAGCGAAGCAGCTGATTTAATCGATGCTGACATAGAACGAGTTTGTAATGACAACAAATCATTTATTGAAGAGAACAAGCAGAAATACGACAAGTTCTCAGACCGTGAGCTCGAAAATATTTTAGAGAATTTAAATCAGCAAACAGCAGACGAAGATATTCAGGTTGATGTTACCCCTTTCTTGGATGAAGAGTTTAGAGCACTAGCTATTCCAGAAATCGGCAATGATGTCGACGTATTTCAAAGCGATGAGCCACAGGACCCAAACTCATAAGACCACCTATGGTTATTCAAGAAAATGAGCTGCTCTCAATTGTGCGCTCCTGGAACAGAAAACAGCGGGAATATTTTTATCGTGTTCACCATAACATGAAGCTGAAGAGACGCTTTTACGAATACGTCGGAGGCGGAGCTGGAGTAGGAAAAAGCCGATTAATTTCCGCTTTATACCAGTCACTGACAACACGAGCAAACAGCTTATCCGGCAGTAATCCTGAGACAATTAAAGTCTTATTATGTGCTCCTACAGGAAAAGCTGCATTTGGGATTGGAGGCGTTACTTTGCACTCGATTTTTTCCTTACCAGTAAACCAATTCTCAACTGAATTACGACCTCTCAGCAATGATAGTGTTAATTCTATCTATTCAAACCTAATAGACCTTCAGTTAATAATAGTGGACGAAATTTCAATGGTCGGTGCCAAAATGTTTGGATTTTTAGATGCCCGTTTAAAACAAATATTTCGCTCTAGCGAGTATTTTGGAGGTATACCATTAATTGTTTTTGGCGACTTAAAGCAACTCTCGCCAGTGGGAGACAGATGGATTTTCTTCCCAAAGGAAGGAAATATAACATCTGATGATATCGAGCTCATTAAAGCAAGAGAAACCAATTTTTACGAGATACCCAACGACTGTATTCATCTTTTTTATTCCAACGCGGATGTATCTCTATATAATACTGCAAGATTGGCTAAAATCGCCACAGAAGAGTTTATCTCTACAGCGAAAGACAGTGTGAAGGCGAACTCTCTTTCGGAGCGAAGTAAAACGGTTATATTTGATGCCATTAAGAATTTTAAAATATCGGAGACACAAGGAATGTGCTACGGTTTACAACTGAAAACCTCTGCAAAATACATGATTACGGTCAACATTAATACTGCAGATGGTTTGGTAAATGGAGCTACGGGCCGACTAATGCAAATTGACCATCGAGGCCCCGAACGGACACCAGTAATTCTTTGGATGCACTTTTCCGAGCCAGGAATTGGAGTAATAGTACGTTCCAAAAAGCCTCACCCCCAAAAATCGAGCTGGACATCAATTGAAAAAGTAGTGCGCACCTTCCAATATAGAAGAAACGAACAAGTCTCGATAGAAAGAAGGCAGTTCCCTATAATACAATAACAATACACAAAAGCCAAGGAGCAACTTACAGATTGGTTGCTATTCATACTAAGAAGGGAATGAGCCGATCAGCTTTGTACGTCGGATGCAGTAGAGCAACAAGTGCTTCAGGACTATTTATTGTAGGTAATTTTATTCCACCTAGACCTTTTGGAGGCAACGAAGTAGTCCAAGCACAGCTGAATATACTTCGGACATTAAAAAAATTAGAGACGCACTACAAATTTGCAACTGAGCACCCAGATAACACTCTTCTATTGTACTATCAGAACATAAGAAGCGCATATCGATGACATTAGAAGCGACCACCTTATTTGTTCAGCGGATATCATTATATCATAGCGGATATCACGGTTACCGTGATACATATATGTAATCATAAGTGGGCGGTGCCACGCTCATTTTCCAAAATTTTATCATAAACGTCTTTCTTGGTAAAGAATTGTTGCAAGCATCAATTTTGAATAAATTTGCTTTAATAATTACTGATTTATCGAAGATTTTGTATTTTTCTAAATTACCGTTATATGGGATGTAGGCGTGGTTATCGTCCGATTTTAAAAATGGTCGGCCATTTGGTATGCTGTGCTAAGGCCAACAACTGTGCCAAGTTTGGAAGAAATTGGTGCAGCGGTTACCAAGATGTACACATGTAACCATAAGTGGGGCGTGGCTACGCCCATTTTCCAAAAATGTATAATATTCTTATTTTTCGTCTAAAAGTTATTGTAAATATCAATTTTGAGTGAATAATCTTCAGTAGTTACTAAAATATCGCAGTTTTCGTATTTCTGAAACAGACGGACGGAGAGACAGACATGGCTTAATCGACCTCCCTATTCATTCTGAGCATTTATGTATACATTTGTCTATATCTATCTCGATTCGTTTTGGCTGTTACAAACAAGCGTTATGTGAACAAAGTTAATATGCCCTTGTGCACAAGTGCGCTCGGGTATAAAAATTAACTGAACACATAAGGAAATTTGTATGTACGATGTAAATATTTATTAGATATTTATAAAAAAAAAAATTGTATTTTCATATTGAATATTTTTACGCTGAAAATTTAGTAAGAAGTAGTAGATGAAAGACAGTATTTTTATTTTCATGAAAGGTATGAAGGCTTCGGCATAGCCGAAGACAGCCCCTTTTTACCTGTTTTTTTAATTTTTGTTCTAGGCATTGTCCCTACCTCGGAAAACTAACAGAAAATAATCGTTTTTAAGAAATTATTAATATATTTTAAGAATTGAGCTTTAAAATGTAAGTAGAAATGTCACACCCGTCACCGTGGAATGAGCCATATGTTCTCGCCTGTTTTACGCTACAGCATTCTTTAGGTTGTTTATGATTTTCACTTGTTTTCATACGTGCTTACACATTAGCTCTGATCCAATACTTTTCGTGTAAAACCTTGTAAAAATGTCAAACAGGAAAATTATTCTCTGAAGTGAGAGTAAAAAGTGAGTAACAACAAAAAGTACGGGAACAAAAAAAGTATTTTTGCTGTAAAAACGTCAACCAGTGACCGCTTGACACTTTTCATGATTCTACCAGAAGAGAAAGTTCGGGTTAAATCTTGCAACTTCATTCTCTACGCAACTCTGCAAAAATCGCTCTCCGTTGCAAGATTTGAAGGAATCATTTTTCCTGTAACTTCCTGCAAGTTCGTGTAAAAACCTGTAAGTTCATGGAGTATTGGATCAGAGCTTTTATGAACGCGAGAATATTGTTGTTAACAGTATATGTATTAGGGATGCAGTCAAAAAAATACATCGATGTTTCTTTCTATTTGATGCATCGAAATATAGCATCGATTCATATCGATATATCTTATAAAACATCGATATTTTCGATGCATCGAATGAAAATATCAACAGTTTCTTTCAATTTAAAATAAACAACAAGAGAATGAAACAATCAGAGCTTCGATAAATGTTTAAGTATTAACACACAGTGAAATGTATTTATTGATTTCAATAGTTACAAATCGCAGTTTCTTGGTATTTTAAAAGCTTTCGGAAAACTTTTTCGACCACTTTTCGGCTACCATAAGCATAGTAAAATAATATAAAGTGTGCCTGTTGCGATTCTATTTCGGTACACTTATTTGGTAATTTATTTTCTTTCGTTTTAATTTTATGTTAACCCTTTTGAGTGAGAACTTATGAAGTTTTTTTGATTTGAGAAAAAATTAAAAACACATGTCAAGAAATTCTTTCCGCTCGTGCAAAAGCACACATAACGTTGGAGTACTTAGGTTTTCAGTCCCTCAGCATGAGGACCTAAACCGAAATCGGTCAGAGTTGTGCAACAAAACCAGAATTGAAAAAAAGCGAAAATGACAAACTCAAATTTTGCTTTGAAATAAGCGTACATCACTTTATATTATTTCACTATGTTTATAAGCTATGTGAAACAATTTGGAAATTGCTGTTTAAAATCTGCCCAAATTTCCAAAGGGTTTTAGAATGTCAATATCATATAAATTAATATAAATTTTTAGAAGGTTGTTTGGCACTAAACGTTTCTACTAATAAGTTAGCAATTTATTAGTGCAAATAACTAATACCTTTTGCATAATATTAAAATGTGTATTTTAATAGTGCATAAATAGTGAAGTTTCCGAAGTGAGCGAAGAGTTTGGAAGCATACAAAATAAATTTAATACGTACAGTGTACATTGCACACAAAAGTCGATGCATCGAAAAAAATACATTGATATATCGCTATATGTCGGAAGGTCCAAAACATCGGTTTTACTCGATGCATCGATAGCAAACATCGATGTTTCCGGAGTAGAACACACATCACAAATATGTAAGATCTCAAGCTCTGCTTACCTTAAAATTCAGTCTTCCCAATTTTTGCTCGCTTTGTTTATCCTCCTCGTCACCTTCTTCAGCATTTTCAGTGAGTTCCTCCATATCAGGCTGAACCTATGACATACCAGAACCCAATAACTACTAAGATATGATAGCGTTTTTGATACTTACTTTCTCTTTGTACGCTGATCCTAACAATTGTACCGATTTCATATCGACACCCTTCTTACCCTTACCATCTTTGGTCCGTCGCTTCTTCAAGAAACGACGTACACAAAAGAAGAGTACACCAAAGACAACGAGAAATACCAATATGATGATGGCCACCACACCCCATGTGGGCAGGCCGGTCTTCTCGGCAATCACTTCGGTGACCACTTCGCCGGCATGCCCGATTTTCTGGATGGTGGACACTGCTGTTGTGGTGGGCTCCTCTGTAAAGGGGCAGCAGTGTTATTTGAATGTTGAGTTCATTCGGTGTGAAGTTAATGCGTCTGTATGTAGCTAAAACTTATGTAAGTACAATGTATATCTATCTCACCCTCGGCTTCTGTTGTGGTTTTTGGTGTTAGGGTGGTTGCCTCTGTGAACATTTTTTGACTTTCCGCTTGCTGTTCTTTTTGTTTTTGCGCTAACTCACGAAATACCTCACGCTGCGTGGTTTCCTCCACCCTTTGGTCTGCCGCTTCCAGACTGGGGGTCGATTCCTCCGGCATCTGCTCTTGGGTGTTGGCATTCGTATTTGGTGGCATTTTGTGCTGCTGCAAGAAATTAAAATCATTATCAACTTAATTTATTGAGTTTATTAAAAATAAAGAAATGTTGATTTGCTCGAGTACCTTCGTATAACAAAAAAAGAGAGCTGTATACCTAGGGGACTCAGTAAACTTGTTAAGCCTAACGTAAAATAATGGTCAAAATAGTTTAACGGAATCTTGGTAGTCCAAATAAATGACAGAAATGATATCAAACTGATAGAAAAAATAGGCGAACACACCTAATATTTGCGTTAATGGTATGAAGACCCCAAGTCCATACACTCAGGGCCTTCACAATTGGCAGTTATATTTAAGGAAATCGTTGAATTTTTTATAACTGTTATTATATATACATACATACGCGTATGCATGCAGAACTGAATCATACCCAGTAGAAAAAAGAAGTAGCGAAAAGCAATTACAGAAGACCTTCCATTGAATATACAGGGACTTACAATCTGCACGATTTCCTTAATTATTTTTTTATGAAACGGGCCCAATTGCAACGCATCGCGTTTTCCCTTGCAGCTGACGATAACTTTGCCGCCTATAATCCACATCAAAAACTTCCTGAACAAAAATATATTCGGTTGGCCAATATATTCGGGCACGTGACGTAGATTAAGTTTAGATTAACTGACGGTCGCTGTGGTGTAGTGGTTAGCAGTGCGCGCTACCACTCCGAAGGGCCTGGGTTCAAACCCTGGTCAAAGCAACATCGCAAAAAATAGAAAAATGGTTTTTTCTTAACAGCGGTCGCCCCTCGGCAGGCAATGGTAAACCTCCGGGTGTATTTCTGCCAGCTTCTCATAAAAATACAATCGCCGTTCGGAGTAGGCGCAAAAAGTGTAGGTCCCTCCCATGGGCGTAGCCAGAACAAAATTTAGGGGGGTCTATACAAAAAAAAAAATCAAAACCAATAACTTACTTACAAAAAAATTGTTTATTGTAACATAAAACTATTGTGACCAATAGAGGTAAATATGTTGTACAAAAACACATAAACAGAAGTTCACAAAAGTTGATATAAAACTATTCATCGATTTTACTGAGCATGTTTATTTTACGAGGAGGAAGCATCGGGAGCCTAACGCCGTCACTGTGAGACTTTAACCCAAACTAAAGTTCCTACCGTCATGTATCGTTCCCCTCCCGGTATCACCTTCAAGGATTTCGTCGGGATTATAACACTGTGTGACTGATAAGGTTATACAATCTATTCTCTTCTTCTTCTAGTTATTTGGCGCTGTAACCGGCAAAGCGGTTTTGGCCGAGTTCAACAAAGCACGCCAGTGGCCAACGCGTAAAGGCCCGTAAATCTTCCGCAAAATCTTTCTCTCGAATACCCCAAGAGCCACCTCCTCATCCATGCTTCTGCGCCATATACCATGGTTTTTGTACGTCGAAACACTCCTACTGAATTGCCTACTTAGTCCAAGGTAGTACTTGTTGGGTAAGAGTGATTCTGTGTTGGATTTCCATGCTCACATTATTATCGGTGCTAATGCTGGTTTCCAAGTAAACTAAATTCTCTACTATCTCCAAATTATAACTGTCAACAGCGATGATGTCAGTGTAATCGGCATAAGCCAGAAATTGTTCGCTCTTGTATTAAATCGTTCCTGAGCGGTTCACTTCTGCAGCTCTTGTTATCTTCTGCAACATCAGATTAAAAAAGTCACATGAAAGGAAGTCACCCTTTCTGAAACCCCGTTTGGTGGCGTTCCTGGCAGAGCTGGTGGTATTGCTCAACGTCAGTTTACACAGCCGTATGAGTTTTGAAGGGATGCCAAATTCAGACATAGCGGCGTACAGGCAACTTCTTTTAGTGCTGTCGAAAGCGGCTTTAAAGTCGAATAGGTGGTGGAGGTCCATATTTTTCTCGCGGGTCTTATAAAAGATTTGGCATATTGTGAATACCTGGTCTATGATGGATTTGCCAGGTCTAGAGCCGTACTGATAAGGCCCAATGAGTTCATTGACGGTGGTATTCAGTCTTTCACATAATACATTCGATAAGACCTTGCAACCTATGCTTAGAAGGCTGATCCTGCGGTAGTTGGCGCACATGTCGGGGTCGCCTGTCTTGTGGATTGGGCGGCAGAGCGCAGTTGAATTCCAGTCGTCGGGCATGCATCTTATTAGCTCCTTGCCGGTAGCTCAAGCACCTTTATTGCTTTTCATCAGCATAATCGCTACCTCGTCATAGTCAGGCGCTGGGATACCGACTCCATTGGCATCGACTGGGGACTCGGGTTCGTCTTCTCCACTTCTTTCAGTGATTCTGCCATTCAAAAGGGTCGACAAGTTTCCCTCCATAATTTGAGTTTGTTCTGGACATCGGTCACTAGGTCGCCATGGTTGTTCCTACAGGAGTCTTGAAACCTTCGGGTTTTTTTCTGTCGGACAGCATCTAAAGCATTTTTGTCTGTAGCTTCTTAACACTCCCCATCGTACCAGTAATGAGCGGGAAATATGGTTCCACTGCTCGCGTATGCCGGTTTGTTGAAGGGTGCTCTCTCACAGCAGGTGAGAGAGTCGAGCGGCGAATCCATTTGCCGTCTGTTTTGATTGCAGCTTTTCGACGTTCAACTTTCCTTGCATTATTGGGGCCCCTTTTTTTGCTGCACCGAGGTGGGGTCGTATATTGGCTGCAACAATAGAGTGGTGCGAGTCGATGTTTGGCCCCCGGAGTGTAAGTATGTACATCTATGACAAAATGCTCGATTTGGTTTCCCGTTTTTCGATCTGGAGACACCCATGTAGCTTGATGGATCTTTTTATGCTAGAACCCAGTACTACATACTGCCAAGTTTCGGGCCCAGGCAAAGGCGATCAGCCTCAGCCCGCTGTTTCTATGTGGAGGCTGAATTTCCCGACACTGGCGCCAAAGATCCGTTCGGTGCCCACCTTAGCATTTAAATCGCCAAGAACGATTTGTATACGTTTCGGGGGCAACGCTAATATGTACGTTCTAAGTTAAGAGATCCTTGGACGCCTCGTCCTTCTCTTCCATCGGGGCATTGGCACATATGAGCGAGATGTTGAAGAATCTCGCTTTGATGCGGATTGTGGCTAGATGTTCGTCCACTAGAGTGAAAGCCGGTCTCTCTTACCACAACTCCAACACCGACTTGCGCTCCTTTACGTGGCAACTGTAGTAGATGTCGCAAGGCACCACGCTTACCTTCCTCAGCCCGTCCATCGCATTTCATTGATTTCCCTAGGACATCAACCAGCCGGGCCGTGGCACCTTCCCGGTATTCCAGGTGCATACCCTCGAATCATAATCGTTCTTATGTTTGCCGTGATTGTCTACAAAAGAAGCGGGTATCATACGAGGCGATGTGTTTTTTTTTCTTTGGGCAGGGTTTTAACGTGGTTTGACCCAAACCCAGCGCCGAAACGGGTGTTTGGTCGGTATCCAGAGGATTCATGTATATAAATATCCGGACGTAGTAAGCTGCGATTTGAAGCGTAAGCACACGAATCATGTCTGACCACTCCCAGGTGAATGGCAGTCAAAAGCTTTGCAGTACTGGGGAATGTACAAAACATAGTGGTCAAAGGCGAATATCTCAACTAAACCCTGATGTATTTTTGAAATTCATAGCTCTACATACCTGTATATTAAACCAAATAACCGGACCAGACGTTATTTAAAATAAAAAAGGTTAAAAAATTAACTTTTCCGTATAATAATAATAATAGATTGGCGCTTACACATATGTTAGTGTTTGGCCGAGCTTCTCCTCCGATTAGTGGCGTGCGCCTTGATGTTGTCACACAAAGCGGAGGGGACCTACAATTTTACGCCGACTCCGAACGGCGATTGTATTTTTATCAGAAGCTGTTTTTTATGGCAGAAATGCACTCGGAGGTTTGTCACACCGTGTAATAAATGAAAAATGCATTAAGGGCCATTAACTTATCTATTTTAAAGTATAGTCAAATCATTAGTTAAACTTAACTACAGAAAATTCTGTGTAATTTTTAACCGACTTCCAAAAAAGGAGGAGGTTATCAGTTCGTCGGAATATTTTTGTTTTATGTATGTTACCGCATAACTTTGGACCACGTCAACCGATTTCGATAATTCTTCTTGTATCGGAAAGGTAGTGTCTCAGAGCTGGTCAATTTGGTTTAGATCCGATCACTGGATCATGAAATATATATATAAATTTTTTTTTATATGAGAATTGAAGTCGGGGTTTTTTGCTAAAAATTACTTGTTGTGTAGTAAAGTTTAACAAATTATTTAACTATAATTTAAAAAAGATATATTAGTAGCCTCTTATATGCTATTTTTATTATAGAAATTTATGTGCGCTATGTGTTTTCTGCCATCTGCTGTAATTACTTAAGAAACAAGCGTCTTGGCTGTTCACCAAACCGGTCTATAGTTTTATGAATAATCTCAGATTGGTTCTGTGATACAAAACTTTCGATGTACGCTTAGAAGACACAAACCTAAAGACAAACTAATAAACAACTTGATACAGAACCGGATGATCCACATATCCACTTTTTAAGTCAATTTACTAATTATTTTGTTAGCATTGGGTGTATAATTTGTTATATAGTTTATATATATAGGAACAAAATTATCGAGCAGCCATTTCCTGGTACTATTTTTGAATATCTGGGCAAAAATTTGGAAGTAAGAGGGGGGGCGGGTCCGAGCCCTACGTGGCTACACCCATGGTCCCTCCCCTTTGGGTAACAATATCAAAAAAAAATATCAAGGCGCAAGCCACAAATCGGAGGAGAAGCTCGGTCAAACACTAACATGCACAAAATAAACAACACAAATATTTGCGCAAATACCAATTAGTACAAATAGGAATCGAGTAATCTTATTTGAACCAATTGGTATTTGCGCAAATATTTGTGTGGTTTATTTTGCGTATTAGCGCCAATCTATTATTATTAACTGAGCCCTAACATTTCACAGATGCCTTTTGGCAATTAAGAAAACCCAATAACAAAAATAAAAAATTATATGTTGGGTCTAACGAGATTCGATTCCGCGACTTCCTGAAAGCTAGCAAATAATAGCAAACAGCTCTGCGCACTCAGCTACAGCCACAACATGTAAATGTGTTTTAAAATTTTTATTTCAATCGTTCAAATAAACTTATTTTCAAACTTGTGTAGCTTGTGTCAATTTATTTGCTTAACACATTGCCTACTCACTTCTCGAGAAGGAGCACTGGAAGCACTCTGTTCGTAGTGATGTTTAGATGTGCTCTGCACTTGCTTAGGAGCTGTTCCGTAATACCTTATAAGTTTGTTTGATTGATGATAAGATTGTAAAGAAATTGAATCAAATAAAAATTTTAAAACACACTTACATGTTATGGCTGTTGCTGAGTGCGGAGAGCTGTTTGCTACTACTTGTTAGCTTTCAGGAAGGCCCGGGTTCGAGTCTCGTTAGACGCAACATATAATTTTTCATTTTTGTTATTGGTTTTTCTTAATTGCGAAGAAGCATCCGTGGAGTGTTATACCATGTCCCCACCAAAAAGTTAACCATCTCAAATCGAACTTAACCACATCACTAACTATTGCTGTCCACACTGCGGTTTGAGGTTTATAAAACAGTACAAATGTAAAGAACTGTGTTCGGACCTCCAAAAATCGATTCAGGCCTAAATTACTGCAAAATCGGAGCAAAAACAAATTTTCCGTACTAGATTGAATTTTTTATTTTTGTTTCTGACATTAATTGTTTGACTAAAAAATTTTCTATTCATGCAAAATAAGAACGCGGGGCAATGTAAGCATAATATGTTACATATTTAGGTAATTTTTAGCATTTTCTATATAGTAGAACGTATCTAACACTTAATTTTTTAAAAAGCAAACCTTTTCTACTTTATATAAATTTCATTCTACATATATTTTTTAACAAGTTAAGTAAAGTTCTGCATCCGCCAATTTGTACAGCCATACATCAAAAAATAACGAAGTTACTTTATTGACGCATTGCTATGAAAGAGTTACTTTTTAACAGTGAGATTTGGCTAACTTTCAATTTTTTTACTGAAACCGGTGGTGAACACTCAAAAAACGGCCCCAAGAGGGGCATAACATGAATGAAAAAAACGGAATAGATTTGAAGTCAAGCGGAGTAGAGGAGTAGATTTCAAATTTTTTCAAAAACCGGAGTAAATCTAATCTGATCTTAGTTGAGTCCAAACACTAGTAGGGAACGAATTCTTTACATTTTAACGCTAATGACCCACAGATGGCGGGAAAACACAGGGTTGTATCAGACTTTCGACGTGGTTTCGAGTTGGTTAGCTTTTAACCATCTCAGTGAAATGGTTAAGTGCTGTCATTTTTATATGGCGAAACTACGCTAAATCAAGTGGGTTATCGGGATAACCAACTCAATAGCCATAACTACGTGGTTAGCTCCGGTGGGGACATGATATTAGGGCTTAGTTAGTCTAGACTTAATTTACGTAACGTGACCTAATATATTGGCCAACGCAATACATTTTTGTTTAGGAAATTTTTGATGTAGATTATAGGCGGCAAGGTGACCATGAGCTGAAAAGGAAAATACATAAACAAAATATTTTCGCTTCTGGCTAATTTAACGTGTTGAGTAGCCATTGGCGATTTCTTACGTAAATTAACTTAAGTCTAGACTAACTAGGGTATTAGGCATAATTTACGCATTAAAAGTAAGCCTTTCTATGAGCTGCTCTCCCGAATACGGAAACGCAATACCTTGCAACTGGGTCCGTTTCATATAAAACTAATTAAGGAAATCATGCAGATTCTCAGTCCCTCTAGATTCCAGAGAGGGCCTTCTGCATGGGCGTGGCCAGGTAGGGGCAGGGTGGTGCTCGAGCCCGCCCCCCCCTCCTAACTTTCAAATTTTCCTTATATATATATAAAATAGTACCCTGAAATGCCAGCTTAATAGGGTCGAAGTCAGTGGAGTTCCAGAAACAAGTAGGTACCTACATTAAAAAAAAAAAACCATTACAGCCTTAAAACGTTTATTTATTTATGGGAAGACGTACCGAAACTACTCACTTTTTCATCGTCACTCACAAATCAAAAATCACAATTTTTTTGCTTAATGATTTTGGAAAGTCTTCAAATATAATGTTCATATTAGAGGCGATGGAAGTTGGCATCAAATACAACATATCTGTGCAGTTTCAAGAAAATGGCATCAAATTAAAAAAAAAGTAAGTGCGCCTGGGCCACACTGGAGAAGTGAAGCTTACGGTACATACATTTTATTTTATCTCATAAGTGATGAGTTATGAGTCATAACCAATATACATGTTTACATACAACATCCGCTTTTCCTTAAGGTTATATTTTATGTCTTTTTTCTATCTAGATACCTACCTCAACCCCTGTTCGTTCTAATTACATTTGTTATTCTGTTTTCCTCTATCTTCATTTTCATCTTTATACTGTATCGATAATAAAATCGATAATCGAGATAACATCCAATAAAACCTCGATAACAAAACCGATAACAAAATCGATGAAAAATTCGATAAAAATTTCGATAGCAAAATCGATAATAATATTGGTAGCAAAATCCATTAGAAACTCGATAAAAATATCCGTCAAAAATCGATAAAAATATCGATATGGATAAATATCTATAACAAAATCGATAAATATCGATAACCAATTCCATAAATATTGATAAGAAATCGATAAATATCGATAACAAACTCGATAAATATCGAAATCAAAATAGATAAATATCGATAACAAAATCGGTAACAAAATCGATAAATATCAATAACATAATCTATAATAAAATCGATAAATATGGATAACAAAATCGATAAATATCGATAAGAAAATCGATAAATATCGATAACAAAATCGATAAATATCGATAACAAAATCGATCAATATCGATAACAAGGTTGATAAATATCGATAACCAAATCGATAAGAATCGATAACAAAATCGGTAAATATCGATAACAAAATCGATAAATATCGCTAACAAAATCGATAATTATCGATAACAAAACCAATAAAAATATCGATTATTTTATCGATGTCTCGAGAATCACGAAAATTTCTAAAATCCCAAAATAGTTCCCGGATTAAGTCTCTGTGTCTCTCTCTATATCCTTTCCTCTTTAATTACCTCTATTTTAATCTTTCTTCCCCTATCTTCATCTTTGCTTTTATCGGTATCCTCATCCTCCTTTTGGTCTTTACTCTTATGTTCACCATTTTTTTCATCTACATATTCCCCTTCACCTTTGCCCTTATATATATTAGTAAAGTGTTTAAATTTACCTTGGTCTTCATTTTTGCCTATATCTTTACGCATCTTTGTTTTAGTTTTTATTTTTACCTTTGCCTTTATCCTTTTCTTTACCTATGTACGTACTCACATTTACTTTCATTCCTGTATTGGTCTTTTTCTAATTGTTATTCTTTAACCTTTTATTAGCAAATTTTTGTTAAACTAATGCCATATGCATATACACAAGAATCACTTGTTTCAGCCCCAACCATTTCCGTTGCACCATTTCCGTTGCACCATTGCCGTTGCATCATTTCCATTGCATACACACAAGAAGTACTTGTTTCAGGCCCAACAATTTCCGTTGCACCATTTCCGTTGCATCACTTCCGTTGCATCATTTCTGTTGCATACACATAAGAATTACTTGTTTCAGACCCAACCATTTCCGGTGCACCATTTCCGTTGCATCACTTCCGGCATCATTTCCGTTGCACCATTTCCGTGTACATTTTCCGCTGAATTTGCCAATTTACTCCCAACCAAGCAACCGGCGCTAAAGAAGTTTCACTTCAAAAATGGCAGCATGCAGAACATCTGTCACAGTTATTTCGCAATAATTTGGGATACTTAGTGATAGAACTTTTTAGAAAAGTATCGATACTAGTACTCATTTATAATACTCTAGAAAAGAATCGATGCCAGTACTCATATTTGCAAAAAAGTATCGATAATACTCGTACTTCTAAGTATTTTTAGGCAAACCCGAAAAGTTAACAAAAATCAGATTGCTTTGTTTACATATACGTACATATGACCCTTTTCTTTTTGTAAATTGAATAGACATTGCTTTTAATAGCTGAAGTCTGATCTAACAAGCATTTCTAACGGAGTTTTTGAAATGAACTTGCAATAAGTTTAAAAGTGTAAAATAAATGTTTATAGCAAAATGCTTATCTGAAGCTTTTAAAAGAAACTAAAGCCATTGTCTAAAGGAAAGATAAGCTCCCTTTCACAAAAATTTTCTTCGAAAGCGGGCTGGATTTCGAATTTAAAACCAAGGTAGAATAAATTGGAAAACGAAGGCTCCGTTATTCTGGACCACCCTCCTAACCCATTCCTTACACCGGCACAAAAAAAATTGGTGTGTGCTTTTAACCAGACCCATTTGCCGCCACATACAGTATCGGTCATATCTATAGCACGTCATTTCAAAGTGAAATTGTTTGCCACTGTTAATTATTCACCCTTATGCTGTAATCCGTCGTAGATTCGATTTTGCTACGAATCGTAAAATTGTTATGCTGTAATCCGTGTTGTCGTATCGTAATTTCGAAATTCGTAGGCCATCTTCGAAATTCGTAATGTTGGTATGCTTGAATGCGACGTAGCTGTCATTTTTATGTATTTGTTGGAAATTTTGTACGAACAGCAACTCGTGTCGGACCGAAACCAATTGTTTTAAATTATCAATAAAATAAAGAGTGTAAACGCAAAAGTAAGTACGTAAGTTGAAGTGTGAATAGAAAAAAAAAATATTATTAAATGTTTACAAAATTATCAGATCGAAGATCACAACAAATCGCTCGCAATACGAAGAACTGGTGGAATGCATGAGCGAAAGGCCAGACATTGGTCGAGGCTTTGTAAAAGGAGCTAAGTGGATGTGCTGGAATTTTGGGAAAGCGTTCCAAGATTTAAAGCAGGTGAATATCTAGTGAAATGGAGGCCCTTATAAGGAGGGAGCTTATATTTTATCATTTAAGCTAACAGAACAATCTTCTATCAATCTCCTTTGTATATTAATGCAACTGTTAGGTGTTCTTCCTCCTAACAAATCGCTCGCAATACGAAAAACTGGTGGAATGCATGAGCGAAAGGCCAGACATTGGTCGAGGCTTTGTAAAAGGAGCTAAGAGGATTTGCTGGAATTTTGGGAAAGCGTTCCAAGATTTAAAGCAGGTCAATATCTAGTGAAATGGAGGCCCTTAAAAGGAGGGAGCTTACATTTTATCATTTAAGCTAACAGAACAATCTCCTATCAATCTCCTTTGTATATTAATGCAACTGTTAGGTGTTCTTCCTCCTGGGACAAAAGTGCACCGGCTACTGAATCCTTTGTATTCTACTTAATTAAGGAAAAGTATTTTCAAATAATGATTAAACTATTTTTTTTT